CTGCTTTGAAATATCTTGTCCACACTGACCACCTTCTGGAACCATGCATGCCTATTACTAACAATTACTAGCAATTACTAACAATTACTAGCAATTACTAACTTTCTGATCGTGTAACCTGCAGAAAGGTAGTGATTATCTTCTAAACAGTGTGATCAAGTTGCCAGGCTGCAGTTAATTGTATCATGATTATTCTGAACTTGTTCACAGAGTAGTATCTGAACTCTGGATAACATGCTTATGTGAAAAGGGTAAGGGAGTTGCACTTGGGAACCCTAGTGAAACTGAGAACTGTTTCTGTTCTCTCATCACATTCATCACACTTTTCCCTAATGCTAAAAAAGATTTAGAAAACAAGTAATTTTTGTTTTGATGCCAATTACTTTAGCAACAGGACAGAACACATACACACACACTTCACCCCAGCAGTGCCCCTGGTGCAGGTTTGAGACCTTCAGCTGTGCACAGCATGTCACAGTTCTCTGAAAAGCCAACACGACTGTAAGTGAAGAGCTGCTGTGAAAACAAACCTGCTCATGAGAGAAGTTACAAGACACAATAAAATCTGTCATGGACATGCTCCAAACAGTACAACCCAAAAGCCAAGCATTCTATTATTCAGAACTTCAAACAAGCCAATTTGATTACAGTTGTACCTAGAGTTTCAGATGCTGAACACTGGAGCCTCCATCAGGGGAACCATTTTCATCTCGTCTTTTGAAGAAGAATGGTCAATTGAGAGTTGGCAGCTGTGTATTTTAACAGGCAAGTAAACATCTAAACCCTGCTTTCTGCCACGCTACTGCATACAGTAAAGTGACAGTATGACCACAGGTAACATGAGATTATCAAAACACTGCATGTAATGAGCATGGACTGCCAGGTTTTCATGACAATTGCCAGACTGGGGTGGGGGGAGAGCAGTGAGGTCCTTCATATAAACGTTTTAAGCAATGAGGAAAAGACAGCACCATAAAACCAGAATTTTTTATGGATTAGCAAATGCTCTTCCACACAAATAGGCCAGATACGTGAATATCTGAATGATTTTACAGCTCTTGTACCGCTTATTTCTAAGCTGCATTTTTCTTACTCTACCAGCTTTGTATTTTGTTAATAATATGTAGAAAATCCAACCACTACCACTAAGGTATTTCCATATAGCTGGCACTCAGCTCACAAACCAGTATGGTTTCAGTACAAAATATAAAAATGTGCTGTATCTAAAATAAAAAAGGAAACAAAGGACCTGTTACTACACTGACCAAGTCAAAAGAAAAAAAGACCATTCAGAGCTACAAATTAACATCTGTCAGTTAAAAAAGCCCTCAAGAAATAGCATCCTTAACAGGATATACACTTTTTAGAAAGACTTATTTGTATGTGTATTGAATTGGCAATAGAGCCATCCACCAGGTATAACTGAAGTTTCAGGAGCTCCCTCAGAAGTTGTTAAAATATCACATTAAAGAGACAAGGAACAGCAAGAAAACATCTAAGAAAAGCAGGCTGTGATACAACAAGCATTTGTTAAGAAAAAGCTCAGAAGTGCATTAGTTCTGGTGAGAGATATATGAGCAACAGCTCTTACGAGATGTAGACCCCATTCTGTAACTATGGGCTGTCCATATACTGTCATAGTCAGAGTCTTCTGAGAGGTCTGAAGGCTCCAAACGAGAAAGACTACTGCGACGACCCAAGGAGTCTAGACTTGATTGGTCATCATCAGCCAAGACGTGATTATGCATCAGGTCAGTGCCTTGCCATGCTAAGGATGTATAGGTGAAATGAAATGGTGGATGTGGATAGGCAGAGGTGGGATGAGGAGGAGAACGTAAGGAATAGCCACAACCAAACACATGAAATAAAAGCAAAAAGGTGATGGGAAGAGAAGGAAAAGAGAAAATATTGTTAAAAAGGCACCAAAGTTGTTTTTTTTTTTTCTTATTTTTTTTTCAAATTTGTTTGGGGTTTAGGTACAAATTACACTCAGCATATAATAATGTTTGAACCATTACAATACAATTTTGAAGTGACTTTTAAGCTTCTACTCTCAGTTGAGAATTTCGAATAACAAAATTTTTTGAAGAGGAAGTTAGGTTCTTTTGAAATACAGTGTCAGTTCTGGTCGGGGGGGGGGTGACTGGGCACAGAACAATAAACACAATAAGCCAGCATGATCCAGTGCTGATGTGAAAAGCAATAGCCCCTTCCCCATCAGATATCTGTACCTCCATCCTTTCCCTCCCTTGTAATGACACAATCTTTTGTACAGTTGCTTCGTGAGCCAGGTAAGGAAACACCTTCTGATGAAAGAATCTTTTGTGGGGTTAGTTTTTTCAAGCAGGTAATTTTCCCACCAGCTCACGACACAGTCACAGAAGTGCTTGTGTCACCACCGTGAAGAGGAAAATGCAGGGGAAAAAAAAGCAAAGGTTCTCATGCAGAGCACGGCTGCTGACTTCTACATCAGCAGCAACATCTTGCACCCACTGAAGGGGACTCCCAAAGTACAGGTTTTCTGTGCCTGTACCCCTTATTGTTTGTTAAACCATGTGATAAATTTACTCACAGAACAAACAGGGCCAAGAGGCTAACAGCAATACTGCCTAGCCCGTTCTGACCCCTCACGCACCTCTTCCTACACGCCTCTATCTGAATCTATCTTCCCAATTAAATACTTTAGATCTCTGGGGTAGTCTAAGGACCCTTTTTTAATTTGTAAAGGCCTGGCAATATCCAAGGACTGAAACATGTAAGTGGGTGTGCTTTTGCAATACACATGATATTGCAAAAGGTTTTAAGTCTTCATTTGAAGTAGAAACGCAAAACAAACTCAGTATTCAAGAAGCACGAGAAAGTAAAACTTTGCTCTTTCACTTCCATCTGTCTCCCCAAATTAAACCCCACATCTTTCCCACCCAAAGAACTGAAAAAAACTTGCTCTGCTACCTCTAATGCCACACCTTACTAGCGTGCACTGGTGCCACAGCTCTGCTGAACTGACACTGCCAAAAGCAGCACCCCTTGGGCTTTGGAGTAAGGTGCAGGTAGGAGAATTGCCCAGGAGTGCTGTGAGGGACAGGCAGAATATTAACACGGAAGTAAAAATGGAGTGTGTAAAACAACAGCATACTTCATGGATGACAGCCAACTCTCTCATTCTATTATTCTACACTGATTACTGCTCCTACAGAAGCAATTCCAGGTTGATTGGTTCTTTCCCCATTTCCAATTCCAGTCTACAAACCGGTTTTCTGAAACCTGAAGTCTTAGGCAACAACACTATTCTTTTCAAACAAAGCAGCTGTGTTCTTATCAATAAAAAAAACTTGTTTCTTGCTGCAACTAAGAGCAAATAAAAACTGTCAACTTCTGATGTATGCAATGATACTCACAGCAATATGTATATTTCTTAAATATACATAGAAAGGAAAAAATAGGCAAGCAAAAAAAAACCATCCATTTTATATCTGCACACACACCCTACTATGCAAGTGCAAATGTTTTCCCAACCATTTCTTGTCACATTATCCTTGGAAATAATAAATAGATTATAGTTCAAGCATTTAAACAGCAATCATCTATTTAATTTTGTTTGGAACAACAGTATATCTTCAGAACTTTGCTTACATTAATTTCCTTTTATCCAAATTAACTGTACAAATTAAGTGTACAAACACTACTGTAATGACTACAGGGCTATAAAATAGATTAGTATTAATAAAAAAATAGTAATAGTAGTTAATTTTATCACCTTGGAGATCTACAGTTCATCAAGACAGAAAAATTAAAAGGAAGGTTTTTGCTGTTACTTCAAAAGTTTCTACAGTCTGTAGAAATGTACAAACTGACAACAGCCATATTCCCACTTTAACTTACATAGGAATACAAAGTAGTTGCATTCTTTTCAAGGTGATAATAGTAAGAGGACACATATTAGTGTCATCCATCTTAAGTTCATCCATGAACTAAGTTTGCAATTGCATTTTGAGGCTTCTCAACTGTCAGCATAAAGTGCTTTTGCTTGGAAGCAAAATGGGCCCAGAGTACTGTAGACAGCAGTAACAGTGATTAATACTGCAAGTTGAAACAGTTTTAGTGGACAGGAAGTTATGATGTCCAGTGTCCTAGTTCCTGACTACAGCAAAACCAGCCAAGTACTTCAAGATCATTATACTGTGTTCCAAGGATCTCTGAATTAAATCAGTATTCAACAGTGCAAAAAGGAACAAAGCCAACAGCATTTTCTCCTCCCTCGTGTAAATGGAACACATGCTGGTGGACTCCCCTGCTTTGTGCAACGTTTTACTTACAATACAGAGGAACTCCACATGGCAACCTTGATTTGGATTAAATGAAGTAGGACCCCAGAGGCACGTTACACGTTTTCAATATGCTAGGTATTGATCTGAGAAACTAAAAATGGCTTTAAGCAACACACATAGCTGAGAACAACTTCTCCTGAAATTATGAGACGGGGTTAAAATTTGTAATTAATACTAAAAACAACTAGTGGCAGTAAAATTAAAGAAATTTTTATAAGTCTAGGTTACTTTTCCATAGAGAAAGTCTTTGTTAAATAGAACACAACAAAGATACAGTCCTCCAAAATTATTATGACTTCTTCATTCCTCATCTCTACTTAACCAGCTTCTTGAAATTTAATCAAAAGCATACTGTTTAACTGTCATATTCAGTTCACACACCTCTCATTCACTAGTGAAGGTTTAGTACAATTTTAAACCATGACAAGTTTGGGTTTCTGTTGTTCTGGATTGTTTTTAAATACTGACAGAATAACAGTCTCTAACCATGCTCCTTGGCATCCAATACATAAACATTTGGCACTGATGTTAAGCCAGAAACAGGTTATTATTTCTTGCAGGTCCAGCTTGCTATTTGCAAAGGCCTGAGGACACACAACACATCTTTTTGCAAACTATGTAATTTGTGTTTTAGATAGCCATTTCTACCCATTTGACTACTTTCTAACTTACTTGAATTTAGTGTTTGACGTGTTTTGGCACTTGTGCAATATGCTTCAATGACTTTAAGAATCTGAGCATCTTCTTCTAAAGCAGCTGTACCTAGAATCAATGGGAAAAAGCAGAATTTTAAACATGGTCATATTTCCTAATACAGAGAAGTCTTTGCAAATCACTACATTTCCAAAGTTCAGCCTAATCAACCCTTGAAAATTCTCTTAATCACACTATTTTAACCAAACCTCAACAAACTAAAGTAACAGTTTTAAAAGATAAATACTATTTTGAAATGCTTAGAAAAAAGCAAGTCAGAGTAATCACCCTCACATTCAAGAAATTTTCTGAGCATCTGAAATTGCACAGAATGGGTTTTGAAGTATAAACACTCTGCTTCTAAAACAGTCACTACACTGAAAAAAACCTGTATGGTCTAGTTATTATTTATGCATACAATTTCATCTGCATATTACTTTATTATTTAATCAAAGAAATCAAGGAACAGAGTATTAATTCGAAGAAGACATACTGAAAACTTCTGGTGTTTGTGTGTGTATAGATATATATATATTTATCCCTTTCAACAGCACACACTATTGAAAATGAAACTCAGAATTAACAGCACAATTTCAGTACAATTTCAGTCCAGTGTGCAGTAGGAAAGATGCCACTATCATATATCTGTGCAAAGTAAAGTAACTAAACTTATCACACTTCAACATAGAATCAGCACTACTGAAAAATATCTAACTATTCAAGCTTAACATGGCAAAATTTTCCTAAAGGTAGAGCTCCACATCAAATCTTCTCCTGGGGCAAGTCAGTAAAAATACTTGCAACAGAGTGAAATTCCAATCAGTCTGAATCTAGAGGTACCTCTGCCATTAGTTTAGATGGAACCAGAAGTCTACGAGCAAGGCAAGACAATCTGTTGTTTTAAAAGCATTTTTCCTGTTTACCTTCTTGAAAAAAATAGGTTTGAACATTTTCTGCTACATGAATCTGAACGACTTTCAACATCAAAATGTAGTTGTGTTCTCTGTCAGCCAATGCATCCTGTTAGTTTTTGTGATTTGTTATCACCAGAACAAAGCCAACTGTCCAAACATTTGTCAGGATTAGCTGTCAAGCAAACTTCTGAAGAAATTATCTTGACCTGATATAATTTTCCTAGAGTTTAAGAGTTGCAGGTAGTCCAAAGTATAGGCTATTCCTCTTTCAGGCAAGAAAAATAATTGGATTTTGTAGTTAGAATGCAGCAGCATTATTATGATTATTACAGTAGCAGGACAAATATTTCACTTCTGAAATGAGTATTGTGAGGCAATCAATTAGAACACCTTACTTCTTTTGTTTTGTCTGTTATAATGCTAATTTGACACAGCAGTTCTCAAAACACAGGTCATAAATCCCTCAGATTCCAGAAAACATAAGTAATAAAACACAAACCTATCTATCAGTATGCTTTAAGTTCAGTGGAAGTTCCTCCATGGAAAACTTTTACAGTTCCACAAAAAAGCTGAAAAAGCTGAATGAGCACTAGCAGAAGCTTCTAATTACTAGGAATCCGTAAGGATTTTTGTAAGTAACACTCTTGGAGTTAAAGCTACCTTTAAGTCAAAGAATACCTTTTATTGAAAGTTATCTCCTACATACAAAATACTGTATTAATTTAATTAGGAGTAGAACAATATATTTGCAAGCTACAGATTCCCTCCTTCCCCCAAATAAGAACTCCTAACTCCTCCCACTGTGTTCTTTAATAATTGCTAAGTCAGCAAGTTGACAGCTTTACCACTATCATTACAACTACTGAATCTCCATTCTCCAACATCTGAAATGATACTGTACTATAGTACTTTCATTTTTTCCTCAACAGATACTTTCCTTTAGGGATAAAACATCCCGAACTAAAATAGCCACTTGCACATCCATGAAGAGGATCATTCTATTCAGTACCATAACCTTTACCATATGAAATTCAAAGCACATTCAGAAAGACTAACACCTTAGACAAACCAACAGTGTCCTGAGGAAAACCTTTCACTCTCCAACCCTCCATAAGCCAATAAGAGACAATTGTCACCATAAGACACTTCATGCACCCCATATTCAAGGCACAACTCTGTCTTAAAAAGCACATGAGCAAAGGACAAAGAAGCAAAGGCTACAGTAAAGATCTGGCCAACAAAATACCCCGTCTTTGATGCAAGTAATTGGATTATTCAATCACACAAATTTCTACACAAGAATTACAGTGGTGTCACTGACAACTAAGTGGACACCGTGTTTGCTTGATAACATTAATCCCAGAATATACCAAGTTGGAAGGAACCCATCAGGATCAAGTCCAACTCCTAGCCCTGCACAGGACCATTCCCAAGAGTCACCACGTACATGAGAGCACTATCCAAACACTTCTTGAACTCTGTCAGGCTTGGTGCTGCGACCACTTCCCTGGGGAACCTGTTCCAGTGCCCAACCACCCTCTGGGTGAAGAATCTTTTTCTAATATCCAATATAAACCTGCCCTGACACAACTTCAGGTCATTCCGTCAGGTCTTGTCACTGGTCACCATAGAGAAAAGATCAGTGCCTGCCCCTCTCTTCCTCTCATGAGGAAATTGTAGACTGCAATGAGGTCTCCCCTCAGTCTCCTCTTCTCCAGGCTGAACAGACCAAGTGACCTCAGCTGCTCCTCACACAGCTTTCCCTCAAGGCCCTTCACCATCTTCGTTGCCCCTCTTTGGACACTCTCTAACAGCTTAATACATCTTTCCTATATTACAGTGCCCAAAACTGCACACAATGTTCAAGGTGAGGCTGCACCAGTGCAGAGCAGAGCGGGACAATCCCCTCCCTTGACCGGCTGGCGATGCTTTGCCTGATGCCCCCCACAAGAGAGGGCTGGCCCTCCTGGCTGCCAGGACACTGCTGACTTATATTCAACTTGTCATTGTCCAGAACCCCCAAGTCCCTTTCCATGGCACTGCTTTCCAGCATCTCTCTCCCCAGTCTGTACCTACATCTGAGGTTGCCCCACCCCAGGTGCAGAATCTGGCACCTCCCCTTGTTGAACTTCATCTGGTTGGTGATTGCAGAGTCCTCTAATTTGTTGAGGTCTCTCTGCAGGACCTCCATGCCTTTGAGGGAGTCAACAGCTCTGAGTTTTCTGTTGCCTGCAAACTTGCTTAGTATCTCTTCCAGTCCTGCAATGTTCTCTCCACTCCAAAATATCCAAGCATCCAGATCTTTACCCTTCTCTTTTTCTGTACATTCACTAGAGTCTCTCAGTTTAGTGTTGTTCTTCTGACTTCAAGCAGTCTAAAGCTCTGCAATTTCTTTAGCTACAGATGAGCAAATTACCTTATTTATAGAAGGTTAGAAAAGACTGTTGGATCTCAGAAGTGACCATGGAAGCAACTCATCTCTGACTCAGCAGCAATAACCAGCCTTCCAAAACCAAGCTCAGCAGAAGCTCCTACCATAATCAGTTTAAGAACATAGCTACAAAGTATTCTGCAAGAGTGGTACAGAATCTTCAAACTGTTGTTTACAGTATTAAAAGTCAGGTTTACCTTTCTGAACTTTACATGGCTCTACCTTCAACCTCACTTCCCGCTAATAAACAGGTAGAAATAGGCACTTCACAAGCATACATCCACTGTATCAGTGGATTCTAATCAGTAAAGCACTAGAAAATAACTAATGCCATTGCAGCATAAGTACCTAAAATGAATAAAACAAACTATCCTCTGGAGATAGGTACCCCTCTCCCCTGATACGAGAGAGGAAATTAGATTTGCTTACACTGTACACCTAACTTTCACAGAATTTGAACTGATGTTAATTCTAGCACTTGTATTATGCAGACATCTGTTCAAATCTCTCTTACTTTTTCTCAGAGCAAACTCTTCATCTGATGGCTTCCGTTCTGGCTTGCGTTTGGGAAGCAGCTTTTTCATGGTTTTAGGGCTTTTACTGAGATCCTGTATGGGGAAAATAAAAAGAATAGAGCTTCTATACAATATTTCAAAAGTTTAACTTCTAAGATGCATACCAAAGTTACTAACTAAAAACCTTTTAACAGCACCAAAACTAAGTTTTTTAATATTTTTTGCACCTTCAAGTTGCCTGAATTGGCTGATTTCCACTATACCCTTCCTCCAACTATACACGAAGTCAGGTATTTTATATGTTCTAATAACAGAAATATACAGAAAAGCTGCTGCAAAAGCACACAGGCTGTTTGGGAGTTAGAGTGAAGGGAAGAGGCAAGAATACATTAATACAGGGTTTTTTCCTGAACTATTGAAGAGACGTGATCCATTTCACTTGTCAACTTAGAAGCAGGTAAAAATTGACCTAACAAGGAAGCTTGGCAGGTAGTATACTCTTCAAAGCCAAAATTTGTAAAAGTTTAGGTCTGTTCTTACAAAGCCCTAGAGCAAAAAAAAAAAACAAAACAAAAAGCAAAAGAATGAAAACCCAAACCACCCAACCAACCAAAAAAACTCCAGCAGCATTTCTGCTCAAATATGCTGGTCTACCCCTTACCCTAAGGACCCAAGACATCTTCTACGAAAATAAAGAACAGGAAAGTAAAAGGTGAATGATCAGGACAGATCAAAGAAAATGAGGATAGGTTTTGAGCATCATTGTATGCTAAATACTGTAAAGATGATAAAATTTTAATATATCAGACAATTTAGTAGCCTACACATGAAAGCATGAAAGTATTTTAAGTTAAATAACAAAAAGAGCATACAGCACAGCCAAAGTAATACAGTCAAACAGAAGAACCTCTTGTAGCAACCAAGCTACAATACTAATCTTGCAATGCAGAGTACTTTATCACTTTTTCCTTGTTTCCTTGTTGTTTAGGGGATTTACAAAAGAAAAAGTGTCACACACAGCCATCACAAAACAAAAGCAAACAAACAAACAAAACAAAAAGCCACAAACAAACAAAACAAAAGAACCAAACCCAAACCCCACAATAACAAAAACACAGCCAGGCCTCGCTGGGACACAGTGTTTAGGCTACAGTTGCTATGAATCTGAAATTCAGATATCTGCAAAATAAAATTTTGCTGTCAACATCTCATACTTGCAGAATAAAATGTTCTTAGGCATAAGTGCATGATACTTTCTGGGCCCTGTAGCTCTACACTAAACTAGTATAATAAGAATGCACAATAAAAATACTGAAACAGGAGATACTACCAGGCTAGAGAGCATGCAATATTCTTACATACATGCAAACTTCTTACATAAATCTGAAATTTTCTTATTCTTGACAAAACTACACAAAATGTAGCGGAAGGACCAAATTAACCTACCATGTGGCTAAACACACTCATAGCTTTTGGAACGGCTTCCTATCTCATACCACATGCTACTTCACAAAACAAAATAAGCCTTCGTATCTTCTGAACCGTAAGACTAAATTCCTCTTTGAAACAAACAGCACTGGTACGTTACCTTTGATTCAGCATTGGCTGTCAAATCACCTTTATATTATACAAAAACATGCACAAAATCGTAAAATGGTGGTGTGTGAAAAAAGTTAAAACTTCCTATTGTAGGCCTGCTACGGAATCCTACTTCTTGGCCGCTGCATCTCACCTCTTTGTAACAAAGAGCTGCTGAAGGCCGCAGCGGCGGTGCGGGCCGTAAGCAGCTCAGACTCCAAGGCTTGGGGGTTTTCGGAGGTTCCAGCGGTCCCCAGTTTATCGTGGTATGTGGAGTCCCGTGATGTGACGGATGAGGGAGAGTGTGGTACGCAGGAGTCAGTGGTATTGGCTTGCTGTCTGAATGCTTACTGGAGGGTGTTACTGGATGAGAAGGAAGCTGTCAAACATGATGGGAAAAGAAAGAAAGCATATTATCTTAAAGAAGACATAGTATCATCAAGGACTGGTGAAATAATCTCACTTGCTATCTAGTACTTCTGTTTATTGCAGCTGGCCTCTGAAAATTTTTTACACTAAATTCTTTGAAAAAATGGAGCTTAAACAATTTTCATTGTCTACCACAGAGCGAACACTAAAGAAAGAATAGCTACAAGCAGCCCTGCTCCCACTTCTCTCTCTACTGAGGACAGAGCTAAATTTAGATCCATTCATATCCAACAATTCAAATGCAGAACTCAAAAGAAATTACTTTAGTAAATTGTTTCTCCACAGCCTGTCAAATACATCACCAATTAAAACCTACTATTCTAAGTATACTTAAAAGACGGTGATGTATTACTTGGTCAAAACAGAAAAAGGAATGATAACTAATTTTCTTTTACCCAGTTAAACTATTACACCAAGATCTAAGCATTTTTTGTTCCCACAATTAAAAACAGAATGGTCTTTTGACCCATTAAACTACAGTCACAACATTCAGTTCTTGTTACTAATGGCTAAAAGAAGTAATGCTTTCCTTTGTGGTATATTTGCCAGACAACTTAATTCTGCTCATTCACTTCAATCCAGAAGCTCTGCCTTACCGTGTGAGATGGCACAGAGTGAGGTTTAATGGTGGGATTCCCAACAGTTGTGACTTTGGTTTGCCTCTGCAGGTGATCCACCCATTCATGCAAATCTTGTTGGTTGTTACAAGAAACTAGTATCCTTTCAATCATATTTCCTAGGTGAAAAGATACCAGAACATATAGGAAATCACAGAAGAACAACTTAGTCAATGCGACATAATTATAAAAGACATTCATTTCCTAAAACTTTATATCCTCTAAGTAGTAAGCAAAAAATTTTAACTTCTATTTTCAGTACAACAGCATCCCACTTTTCCCGGCTGTAACAGATGTTGCCTTAAGATAGGCATCACAGACATTGCCTCCATGTAGTTATTCTTAGCCAAGTACAGAAGTTCTATTTTCTTCCATAGATCTAGTAATTAGGTACAACCTTAATATCAAGAAATAGATGTAGGAGTCAGGCTCATCTAGTAGCCTTACACTCTTTCCAGGAAAGCCAGCATATATCCCAAAAAGTCATTCTTGAGTCCGTATGCTACAATACAGGAAAAGTTATAAAACAGAGTTCGCTGATCTCTCAGAAGGCAACATAAAACCGGTCTGAATCCAGTATTAAAGTTGAGGAAAAGTCATTTGGGAATGCAATCTTAACCAAAAATTAATTTCTGCAATTAACTCCATTTAACGCATCACATTCTTCTTGAGGTCAGCTCCATAGCATCATCTCCAAAAACACACACCATCAACGGGTTTTTTTCCCCTGTGCCTCATGGCATTGATATGATACTGTCAACCACTTGAGAGGGTCAAAATCATTTTACTTTAATGCGACCTGCTTGGAGCAGAACTAATCCAGGAAATAAATGAAGGTATGAAGCTCCACTCTGTGGACCCTGCTCCCACTGTCCTTTAAATTGCCTAAGGACATATGATATATGATGAAACAAATGACTTAAGAGACAGAAATTATCCAAAATAAGCACAACAGTAATCATCATTAGTATCAGAGATGCTAAAGGTCTCTCAGGAAAGAGGTGGACCATTTCTAAAAGAAAGCTCTTGCTCAAAGCTTTTCCAGAGTCTCTAGAACTCCTGTTCTTCCAGTGAACAGCATACTGTAAACTGCTTTGTTATAAAGGACCTTCTCCAAGGCCACTGCCTCCATTCATTAAGATACAGAAATTCCTGGATGAATCCCATGCAAAGGTAGCTCCCTAACTGCTTAAGACAAGCAGTAAAAAGCAGTCTTCAAGTGAGGCTCTGGGTAGCAGCCTTACAAAATCTGTATAATCACAGGATAGCTGAGGCTGTAAGGGACCTCTGTAGGTCATCCACCCCTCTGCTCAAGCACAGACACCCAGAGGTGGTTGCCTGGGATCATGGCCAGTGAGCTTCAGAGTATGCCAAGGATGGAGATTTCTCCAGGCACCCTGTGCCAGTGCTTGGTCACCCTCATAGCAAAAAAGTTTTTTCCTCTGTCCAGACAGAGCATCTAATGTCTGAAATAGTATATCCTAGAAAAAGTAGTAAATAAAAATATTAATGGGCAATACCTGATATTTCAAATGCATTTTTATGGTTTTCACTGTCTTCTAGCTTTGTAATAGTCATTCCAGTCATGGGCAGTTTTCCCTTAAAGAAAAGGGCAGTAACACTGAAGTTAAATCCAAACCACACAAAAACATTACCAAGTAAAGAAAATACTAACTTTAAGCTCTGAACAAAAACATTCATAGTAAATTGACAAACGCACACACATTGATGGGTTTAAAAACATTTAAAAAAACACAAACATCTCAGAAGTTTTTCATATGTCCAATTTCTGCAAAGGACATCTGTGACTTCAATAAGAATAGTTGATACCTATGCAGGCTATGAAATCCATACAAACGTAATAGTGATCACTCCTCATACCCTCAGGTTCTTGAAACTGAGACCTTCAGGGTCTCATGTTACATGATTAGAGGCAATGCTGACTTTCTTTAAGCATATTTGTTTGTAAGCTGTTTGATTAGCTCTCAAAATAAGGTCTGTGGAACAAGTATATTTATAAAGAAAGATTCCACTAAACAAATGCATCAATTATTTACTGAATATTTATTTCTCTAAATAATGCCACTACTAAATTCACTCACAGAAATATTGGGGGTGGAGGGGAAAGCAGTAAATGCCTTCAAATTTGTAATCTTTGTTCAGAAGAACATACTAATTTGCAGATCTCATTTTAAACCCAGTCAAGCAGGAAAAAAAAGTCAGTTTAGGATAACTTTTTGACCCTTTAAAAAACACAGAACAATAAATAAGATCGAATATTTTCAGGATGAAAGGCTTTACCAAAACTGCAACTTCAATAAAAGTTCTTTAAGACAAATCCTGTATTCTCCTGCACAGAAACACTATTCAACACACGCTGGCAAAAGAGCAAATACTATATACTGTGGAATTTTGGCTCCAATGAGAGAAAAGAATAAAAACCGACTTTATTTGTTCTTCTTTCCTAACAACTGTAGAATGGACAAAGGTTTCTTACAAGCTTGGAAATGAAAAATCATTTGGTATTCTGTATGCACAGAACATGCTCGAGCCCAAGATACCAAAGAGAAAGGAAGAGTTCTCTTGCAGCAGCTTCCCCACCGAAGGAAATGAGGTGGACATGCGCACTTACAATGCAGCTAAAATTTGCTCTTTTCCCTGTTTTTCCCTGTTTGCTGGTTCATGAATAACACAGCATACAACCACAACAGAGAGATGTACAAGAACTGCTGACATAGGTGGGAAGGGAATATGGGGGTACACTAAGCAAAAGACTGGTGACAAAGATCACCTGAACCACATGGCAGGAAAAGGTACAGCCAGCAAAACACAGAGAAAAATGGAACTGAACTTGTAAAACATTTATATTCCCCTTCCTTCAACAAACAATCATGTAGTCCCCCTGTGAAGTATGGTCTGTGCTCCTTGTGACTTCAGTTTACCACTGCTAAAAGTTCTCCCCATTTGCTCATGTGGCAGATATCAGCACTATCAACCAGATAATTTGAAGCCTGTTGACAACTGGACTATTCAGAAATGCAGGGAGGGTGTAATGAAGGATGCAGCCTCCAGTGGCATAATTTCTGTGGGAATGACTGAGGGAACTGCATCATCTTCTGTCCATATCCATCTGAGTTCTGAAGCATGAACCTCAGAAAAAATGTCCAAGAGGCCCACATTACGCAATCCAGATGTGGCTCTAAGCCACCATCTCAGGCACAAACAGTGCTGAAAATAATTTTGCCTTGCTGTTAATATGTAGTCATTCAAATTTGAGACATGCTCAGTGATAAGAAAATCATACAAGAAGTTATGAGGAAATTAAGAGATTTGCAGTCAATGGAGGGTTGGATGGTGAACTCTAAGAAGGGGCTGTGGCCATTCTGAGTAGAAGCTGAAGACAAATGCATCGAAAATTGTTTATTTTCTTATTTCCTGAACAATGATGTGCACCTAGGGGATAAAGTGGGAGGGAGGATGAAGAAACGTGACATACAGTAGGAGAGGCAAAATAAAACCTCACATATTGTTTAATTTCATACTGCTTTTTAACACATTAAACTCCCAGTCAGTTGCCTTTTTAATCAGTACACGAGAATCTACCTACATCAGAAATTCTGAACATGCCACTTGGAACCTGCCTTTTCTAGGACCTCCATCAACATTGGAACAATCAGAAGGAGCACAAAGCTAAGAAACTCAACAGTCCACTTGAACTACCTAAGGCAACACCATTTCTGACAAATACAGCTACTATCGTGGCAGGTAAGGTATGAATCCAAACAAATTTTGGAATTTATTACCTCTTAATAGAAAAAAAAAAAAGTCACATTTTGTGACTGACTCTGGTTGATAAAACAGGAACACCAAATAACTGAGCTTCAGCATTCCTTCAAAGCAAGCAAATCAGGAGAAAGGAATAAACTGCTCAAGTGCCTGATTTACAGAAGCACTTCTAGCAGGTGAAATCTCTTTAGAACTTTGTTGCAGTTTTTCCCTTGCTTTGAGTGCTTTACTGTGATGCCTCACACCTGTGTGGCAATACTTGAAGAACATTTATACAGATTTCAAAAAGTCATGGACTGTGCATTTGCCTGTCGGGAGCCTTTGAAACTACACATCCAAAATGTAAAGTGCTTCTGCGAAACATGCCCTAGAGCTACAGGGGAGCCAACCCAAACACTAGTCATCTTCCTGCACTAAAGCAAATTCCATCTCTGGAATAGGCCTGTGGGGTAACAGCCACAAGTATTCAGAAAAGGAACTTGGTAGAAAAGCTCCAAGACTGTGTCTACCAGCAGTGAGCAGAGGATCTGTGGAGGGAAACGCCTAGTGCTAAGGTCCCAAAGGCCACATCGTATGCATTTCTGGTGGTGTTACACCGGGCTAGCCCTAGGCTGGGGCTAGGGACTGAATGTCAGCCCATGTACTTGATCTTCTTCAACAGTCAGAGCAGATCAAGTGCATTTCTGGAGTGTGCCTTCCAGTTCAGCTTCATCCAGAGGGAATCTAGTCTGCGAGCCCCAGAACGACTTCTACAGTGTCTCAACAATCATTAACTAAAAAAATTAAAAGATTAATTTTAAAAGTGTTCTGCTGATTCAAAGATAAAACACTGATGTAGCTCCATATAAACAAACTGATGGTAAAAGCCCAACACCTATCAAGGAAAGCTTAAAAGGACTGTGTAATTTTGTTAAGACTCAAGCAGCAGTCAAAGAGCACTAACAAACCTATGCAACAGCACACTTTTTCTGTGTAGATCTAAAAAGCTACCGATACTTCCTCTCATTAGCAACTACTAACAAGGTAAAAAAAACCCTCCTTGCTGATAGTCATAGCTGCAAAAAAGAAAAAAAAAAAACAACCTGGCCTCATAGGCTGGAATGTTACCTTTTACCTTTATAAATGCAGAAGTTTAAAAATCTTTCCAAGTTTTCTATGAAATATGATTTGGAAAAAACACACCCCCCAGCACATTTATACACATAGGTACATGCATTACTTTACCTGATAGATAAACCCACTCATTCTTGGGCTGGCAGACAACATTAGCAAAATGTTAGGGAAGAGAAGAAGATACCTTTCATTCTTTTCCTTGTTAAAAGAAGAAAATGAAAAAGTAAATACAACATCACAAGTCCCCTCCCCCCTTTTTCCATTTTCCATTATTAAAAACTATCAACATTACAACTCCACGATTACTCTGCAAATATTTGCTTCCTGCAAAATTAACTCTCCATGGAAATTGAAAAATATAAAAGAAAAGAAAGGAAAGAAGACAGAATTATTTATTTTCTACTTGAAAAGTGCTACTAACACATGCCTATACTGCGTCCTGGAGAGTACAGCCTAATATTTTAAAAGAAAAATTTTACAGTCTGGGTGAAATACTGACCTTGTTTAATATGACAACCACTGTTTGGCCAATTTCAGCAAAAATGAAATTACACATTGGATATATTTCTTAATATAATTTAGATGGATGCTGTTACAATAGTACCAAGACTGTGGTCTCTCAAATTGGAGAGATCAGATTTTTAAATATTGGATTATGCCCCAAAGTACTAAAAGCAAATCAATAATTTCTGTAGTCAGAAGAAAAGCATTCATTATTTTGGTCTGATTTTAATTTGATGGTTTCATGTATGGAATTGTCCATTATGGTCTTGTTTTGGGGTATTTTTAGGGAAGGAGCAGTAAGTGTACTCTTAATCTACTGCTACAGACAACAAAACAGAGAAGCACTAAATTAAAACATTATGACAAAACAAATACATCCATTGACAAAGCCACTGTCTTAATTTCCAGCATCTTTGCAAAAATATAAGTCCTTAGTAAGTTTTAATGTTCCTATTCTTCAGTAAACATTTACAAAGGTCTGTATCATTTTCAAAAAGAGAAAACCAAACCCCATTGCTGGTGCACAAATGAAACTGTTCTGTATCTAGTCAAAAAGATGTAGTGCTATGCAGAAACTTCTAGAAATCCCTTCCATTTGACATTTTATCTCATAATGAGAGTGGGGGGTGATGATTTGAAGACTTCAAAAAGAGACATGACTGCAGAAGATGCACTATTAGCTCTACTGAATCTTATTTATTTACTTTAGCACCTAATTAAATATCTGAGAGAAAAATATCAAGTGACTAACTTTTAAATATTCAGTTGCATAAACATTTTTCTTTTTCTTTATATTTATGGACATCTTTGTTCCAAGGCAGGAAGCTGACTGAATGAGGTTGCAATTCAAAAGCCCCCACCAGGTTCAAAGCTTCATTAATTTTTCAGGGGAACAACAAGCAGTAAAAATATGTCAGTAACTCGTATAACATTTCCTTTCTGTTAACACTTGCTTTTAAGATTATTTTAACATAGGTAAAATAGTAGTACAAGCTTTTCTTTGTGTGGTTTGTTTGTTTCTTTGGTTAAAAAAAAAAATCACCCCAGACTTTGACACTTTCAATTTTCTATTGTATCATCTTATTCCATTTCTGAATCACAGAATAACAGAATATATCAAGCACGCATTTCAAAATTTAGTACTTGAGCAATGTGCCCAAAACAGGAAGAAACGTGTGCCCCACACACTTTACAACATAAAACTTGAACTCATTTGCTATTTAAAACACACTGTGATAACTGCTGTGCAAAATGATCCTGTAACATAACTACACATGAAAAATCCTGTTTAATTATGCACATTCAAAATAGTCCTGCAAAAATCATCTTACAATATTTATAACTGCTGTATTCAGTCACTTTTCAATAAATTTTACAGATGAAAGCATCCATCTTCGAGGAAATTTTTTTTTTCAGGTTTTGAAAAAAGGCTTTAAGTCAACAGAGACAGATTTTAACTTAGATTAGCATCTCTGAAGCATTCTGTTTATTTCTGTTGCATAATGATTATAATGAACTTTATTCAAAATGGAAAGAAAGACCAGCAGTAAAGATGAGAAGGATGTTACCTCACTTCCAGCACACTGAATCATGACCTGGGACATGTAAATCACATTGCCAAGTGTTTTAATATCCTCTCCCTCCCAACAACGGATAGCTTCTGTCAGTATTTGTAGTTCAAGTTCTTTCCGTTTCCGTACTTCTTGACATTGTGCCTAACAAACATAGGGAAAAATACCACTTCTATTAACTCCAACAATTTGTAATGGGTTAAGGATAGAAATATCATTACAGTTGTATTTATTGTTGTGCTTCTGGTACACAGAAGACAGCACCTTACTTGAAGCATTTTCATTTAGATGACTATGATCAATATTTTTTATAAACTAGTTTTGTTAACTTAAATATTTTACTTTTCAATACACTGACTTCAATTACCATTCCAAATTCAGTCATAGCTGTTTCTCAAATTTCTCCTTTCTTTATATTTCAAATTTTTGTATGTCCAAATATGCTCAGCAGAAAAGAGTAACACAGCTATTAGAAATACATGTCTATACAAGAAAGCCTCTTTCTTCAGTAAAAAGACACATGCCTTCTGTGCAAACAATGAGTACATATAACCCGGTGTTCCTATTTTTATTAAGTGTCTCCAACCTGCTTCTATTAATTTGAATTTTTCTCAACAAGAATTGTTTCCTCTTGTTTGTATAGCACCCAACAGGATGGAATCCACACACCTCTTCTGAACACTGATAACACTAAATTTCTGATTTAAAAAAATAAAAAAATAGAAAATGCCAGGTTACCACCAGCACACATTCCTAACAGGAAGCATAAAACATTAAGTTTATTGTAACTCAGACTGCATTAATTATATGCTTGTTGCAGTCGAGGTGTGGGTTTTGGTTTCTTTTGTAAAGGCAGTAACAGACAGCTCATCTGTTCAAACTAGGCTTCCAGTGTTCCAATTATTACTGAAAGTCTTGCATCTTCTGAACTTCACTAGCACTTTCCTCTTCATCCTCTCTCCCCCAGCTCCAACACCATTACCTGAGAAGGAATGCACTTAAAAAACATCAGAAAACGTACTCCTTTGTTTAACAAAGCCCTTCTTCAGGACACTACTTATGTTACCACCAGTAGAAAGGGAAATGAAGCATGATGAGAGGGTAGACAGAGGTGCAGAATCCTTTGTGCAACTCTGACATCAACAATCTATTTGCTGTAACTCCCCATCCTAAATTACCATTCTTAGTTCTGCCTACAAACAGCATCAACTTCTAGGCTTTCAAAAATTTACTATACAAACAGTTACAAAAAAAGGTGACATTTTTAAGCAATAGAGGGAGATAAAATTAGAAAATATTCTACTTAAAATAGATAATCTAGTCTTTTATGACTCTTACAGAAAGATTTTTGAAGGCAGTCATGGATTTTTGAATATCTGGACGATCCGGATGATAATCCTAAAACCAATGGAGAAAACATACATAAAAAGTTTAGTTCTAGTACAATTAATTAAAAAAATGTTAGAGGCTGAACTACAAACAAATAAACAATTCTGCAAAATTGAATTTGTTGACTGATCTGCTCTCTTTTCGTGGCTGCCTTATATCAAAGACTGGTGGGTGTTGCTTCTAGTAAAACTGCAGTTATTTGTCACGTTCCTTACACTTTAAATAGAGCCACAGAAGTTTTACAAGACCAAGTGGATAAGAGATTTTGAAATCCTAAGAGGAGAGTTTTATTTGGCGTGTTAGCTTTGTCACAAACATGATTCCTTACAGACCAACTAGCATGTTCCGTTGTCACTGACTGACAAACCAAGTTGTGTGACAAGACCCATATGCCTTCTGTTTCTCTCCTTTGTTCACACTCCAAACATCTAACCTACAAAATGCAAAGGTGAAAACAGTAGCTCCTGTATTGTAACAATCACTTTTGAACAGTGGTGAGTAGGAGTCAAAGGGACTATTTTGGTGATGTGTTCAACATATGCTGAGGTGAGAAGTAGCACTCCTTCTACAAGATAAAGTGACCTCAAGTAGTATGCAGGAGACACATTCGATGCCAAGCCAACTAAAGACCCCGATAAGACTGTTCTAAGAGTGATGATTAGCTTCTCTGGACAGTTTTACTTTAAATGTTTAGTTTTTACAGGAAGTTTCACTGCACTGAGTCTTAAATAAACCATTGCAGCCTGTACTTCAGAAGGCTGACGGAAGAGCAAACAAATGTAGTTTTGGGTCCCATCATGTTTGACATGTACCTTTAAAATAATTGTTGTCAAATCATCATTAAGCTGGAACATAAATGCTGATAAGATATACCTCCATGTGCCTTTCAAGTTCTTTGAGTAACGTGGGGTATTTATCCAGACGCATAAAAGGTTTGCTGAGGCCCGTGGTCAGTACAAGGATCCCAGGGCTGTTGGCACCTTTCATCTCCATGAATTCTCCTAGCTCCTCACTGTGTACACAAGATATTTAAGCAAATTAAGATTAAATTATCAAGACAACTAAAATTACATTGGATTCTTGACTGCAATTTTTCATCTACAACAAAATATGCCATCAAAACAAGGAGCCAAATAAATAAAAAAGTAATTCAATACAACTTAAGTGCTGTGATCAGTTTATGCATTAAATAAATTACAGGAACAAAGCCATTTGTAGATTTGGGGTCCTTCCAGGGAAAAACAGACACAGGATCCAATTCACCATTCTAAGCAACCATTGCTCAAAGGCAATTCCTAAATGCTACCCCATCCAAGCAATGATTAAAGAACAAAACCATCTGCACTATATTCTATTGCTTAGCTCTTTATTCTAGTAAAAGAACAGCTGACCTTAGAGGTGGTTTACACAGGTAATATACAAGTCAATGGCTTCATATTTAAACAAAAATTAGTATTTTTTAGGTGTCAGGCACTAATGAGAAGACACAGAATGTTTCAGGACTTTCTTCTCTCCCACACTTACATGTTTAATGACCTCATTTTACACATCCAAAGTTTTACTGCAAAAAAGTAATGAACATCCATACAAATGGTAGAAGTAATTACTGTGTAATCTATTCTTAAATTGAGTTAGGGTTTCACTAAGGGTGTGCTTAACACAACATAATTTGTTTTGACAGCAAAACTGTTGTAAGAAATACTTGCTGTCCAAGTACCATGGATTGCTACTTCCCCTTCTCCAGATGTTTTTTCGTATTTGAATCTTTTACAAGAACTGGTCCAGCCACTCAACTTTTTACATTAACTCAGTTGAAAAAGCAGTGCCTCTGAGAATTTCAGCTCACTTTCCTATCAAGGAGACAAAATAGCTACATCTTGTGCTTCCTTATAAATCAGAGGTTTCAGAGCACTATACTGGAGGAGAACTAGCTTTTCAAGAGTTTAAGTTACCAGGAACAAAATGAGCCCTCTCTATTGGGAAAGGAAGATATGGCAGCACCTGGGCTGATTGCCGGGCTTCACAAAATACAAGTTGCAGGTTGCAGAAGAACACGGAATTCTAAAGACAAAATCTAAATAAAAAATTCAGAAAGTTGCTTATTAAAAAGATAGCATCTTACATTCAAGTATTCTAGACATCTGCAGATGAGGTTGCTCACGTTTAAAGCCCTTGTTATAGTAAACTAACTAGTTTTCAAAAAAAACACACAAGAAAAAAATGCTACTCTCATGTGGCAGTCAAGTAAATTCCACTCAAGATATTCTGAAAGTCTTTACTTCCTACTGATAGATAGCATTATGCTCTCGTAAATCAGAACTACTACTTAATTTTTTCCCCTTCCCTAGTCATTGGCATTGTCTCATTTTTCAAAGGAAGCCTAAGCCAGATACCATATTTAGTACTTTTAGAAAGTGTAAAAAAGAAAACAGCGTCAAACATCAAACAGCAATAAAGGAACATGTACACTTGTACATTATGGCCACATTAACAAAAGGAAAGGGCAAGGATCTCCAAACCTAGGGCACAGTGTTTCCATGCAGAAGTGAAAGCAAATCTTGACCTGCTCGAATTCCATAGGGAAAAAATACTGACAAGACACTGACATAATACACGCATTCAATTATCAGTGAGTCATGGTATTTAAAAGTATTATGTACATTAAGACAAAACAGACCATTGTACTTCCACCAAGACACACACACATACTCCCCCTCATTTCAGAACAAGTGACACTGCTTATTAATGTAATTTGTCCAAATAGATGAAGACAGTAGAACAAGACATCAACATGGTGCTTAGGGACATGGTTTAGTGGCAGACTTGGCAGTTGGATTTGATCTTAAAGGTCTTTTCCAACCTAAATGATTCTATAGTTCTACAAACTGGGACATTCCCACCCCAATGTAAGTGCTTTACCCACTATCTCACATGGATCATTCATCTCTCAGATGTTCACAGAAGAGAAGGTACTTTTCCATACAGCTTACTCCAAGTTTACTTGTCTTCAGATTAGTTAAGCAGTATTTACTTACACTACCTTGCTTATGTATATCCAGCACTGTTTCTGAATTGTCAGGTCCAACATCACTTTACGTCACCTCTTTTTAGAGCTCACCACCCCCATTCTAACAAGGCCCAGGCACTCCTTCCTGCATGTATTTGTGCAATTTCTGCTGCATTCAACTGCTCAGTCCAGAAAAAGGGTGAGGGGATTTCCCAACACCTGCTGTGCATTTTAAAGATGCAAAGAGAAGGGCTAGGCACACTTAAGAAAGACTTTGCTACATCCCTTTTAAGCAAGATGTATCAGCAACTCCAGGCCTCCTAAAATCAGCTCGTGACATAATCAGGTTTTAGTCAAAATTAAAACTCATTGAACAACCTCCTACAATACCTTGCAGGAAGAGTCATAATAATGGAACACAGATAAGCCTGAGTACTTTCTGAACTTAAATTTAAAATTAGGTAAAGCTGGCCAACTTTGAATACCTAGAGTCTGAAGACCTACTTTGCCTAATGTTTTCTTAGTCCCAGCCCTTGCTCAGCAGAAAATCACGTGAACTTCAGAACTTGACAACTCATTCCAGTGGCACCCTAAACAAGACTAAAGATTTTGACTGATAACTATGTCTTGGTTTTACAGTGTTACCAGCTACTTCTTGGTCAAATATTCCGGGAAATTCGCTGAAACATCAAGCTGCATGGCTATGCTGCGGTGGCATGTCCTCTCCTCCTGACTCAGATTAAAGGAAAGAAACTGTTTCCAGTAAGTAATAAAGACATGACACCCAGTTTCCACAGGAAGCTTTACCAAAGTTCACCTGTGAAAGTCATTCTGTCAGGAGACACCCAGTGGTTTTAAATTTCAATTCACTATGTGTATGACACTGATCACGTGCACACCACTGCTTTTTTTTGTTTTATCCACTAATTCTACCTGTAAGCACCCCCATCCATGTCAGCATCATAAAGTTAGGTTACATACAGTATTTCATCATATTTCATCTTTTTGAAGTGAAAGACATTTGCTATGAGAACTAAGAGGAAGTAGCTATTTATACTCATTCACTACATTTTGATTGCTTCAGTCAGACACACAGCCCCTGCTGCTTAATTTTACCAGCTCTGCCCCTTTACATTATCTACTATTCTTCCGCATTTCAGGCAGCACAATTCATACAAGTATTATGCAGCTTCTCTTTTCACCCCTACACAGCAGCCAATCTCAAGTACCACAGGCCATTCAATTTAACACTGTTCTGACGGGTGCTAATTTTTGCCCTTAGGTTGCAAAAAGGTGAAAACCCCCATTCCTAATTACTTCGGCCATCTCCGTGCTGTCACGTGTATACAAACACATTATATAAATTATATTTGCTAAGCTACCCACTAACACAATGCCTGTACTTCCTTCTCCCTTTTTTTTTTTAAATTTAGCGCTTCTACAGCAGAAGGAACATTGGTTACCATTTCACCCACATTCACATCTCTAACTTTCACTATTGTTGTTCCATTTCATCTTTACTACAGCATTATAAAACAGACGTGAAAAAGCACAAAAAAACTCACTGTAGCCTGAGTTAAAACCGACTACATGGAAACATGAAATAAAAACCTGGCATTAACTTGTTTTTGCTATCTGCTCTGCAATCCCTTAAACTAAATACACTCTTTGGTTATGCCATTCACTGCTCAAGTGATACTTAGTTGTTTATCATCATCTTTTTACTTAATCACAGTATAGGAACCCATGGAGCAAGTTTAAACCTCAGCTCACTTGGAAATGTACACAAAGTCCTGAAAAACAGGCTTAGCAATGGCATCATCAGCAAGCCTTTTATACTGAGAAGTGTTAATAGGTGTAATTAAAACTGAATGATGTAGTTTTCCTCCCAACATTCCCAAGAGGACAATATTTTCTTTCATACAATTCTGCACTTCCCTCTGATAAGTTTTGACATGCCAGCTTGCTCAAGCTCCAGTCTGAACACGTGCACACACACCACTAATACAACAGTTCCCAAAATTTTGTCTGAACAGTTCCATCATGCAGACCCCGTTATCATTCTACTTATGCTATACCAATCTGCCACCTCTGCAGCTTTGTTGACATAAAATATCCATCAAAATGTGGATGTTACTTTAGCTCAAAGTGAATGTCTTTCATTTAGTCACAAAAGATAAACACGATACAGGATAGAATGGAAGAGTTTACTTTCAATAACCTATGAGTGGCTTAAAATCCTGTTCAAACATGACAACAGTTCACAACTGGTTTTTAATTAATTGCAGCTTAAAAAAAGTCAGTGTCAGCTGCTTTGCCAAAGACAATGGCTCTTTCATGTCACAATTTCAATTGATGACTGCAAGCACCACAGTCTCCTAGGCAGCATGCACTAAACGAAACTCCAGCCCACAGCTACGCAGTACATTTAAAAAAAAAAAAAGGTATCATTTAGCTGAACAGGAAAAACTTTTGAATGGTGAAATCATCAACTCAGTCACAACTGCCTAAGTAGCTTTTCAGAAAGAGGCAGATGAGACCTTAATTCACTACTTACATTATTTTACACAATAAAATGCAGAAAAGCATACTAAAGTGCTGTGCTTCATTTATTCTGAAATCTCAAGCTGAAGAGTTCTTCCTATTCCAGACTAGTCTTAGTTCACACTTGAGATATTTTAAAGGTCACCATGAAAAGTGTCTTTAAGCCTTATTAATATATTCAAATCTTTCATAGTACATCTGCCTCAAAAGCCGCAAATCAGACTGGGGGAGGGAAGAAAACAAGTTCAGATGTGCCTACAAGTAACAGAAGGCAAAGAAAAAAAAGGCCATTTAAACTTGAGGAAAGCAGATCCAGAAAAATCATTTAAAACCACAACTTACACTTCCGAAGCAGGTCTCTGTTTGTAAGAGATGGAGCACGAGCTATCACTGCTGAGGGGTCTGAGGACTGAACACAGGCACCGCATTTTGAGAGCGTTGTGACACAGCTTGGCTCAGCA